TGTATATGTTATCCAATTAACTGGCATTGACAGTTGCAGTAACACAACCATCTGCCGGTATCATATCTCCCATTTTAATGCATGTTTCATCGTCTTTCCCCCTCCCTGCGGACCACAGGTAAATGGTAATAGTGGGGTATTTGCAAAAACTTATTTAAAATGCCACACTATATCCCATCCCACAAGCTATATTATTTTCAAAGTCACTTCCATACCTGGTTGTCTGCATGGTCACCCCCCCCCCCCAGCCGGGGCTCCCAGGGTGGGGAAAGCTTGTGACACACCACAATTAATTTTCGGCAGCTCTTGCCAAGGCTTTCTTTGCATGCAGCAATTTCATCGCCTAGTATTGTGAAATAGGTGGCATTTTCACGATATTTGCTCCTCTGTCTATAGAAAAAATACATCCAAAATATTTAGGCACATTTTATCCAAGAAGTGAAGAGCTCGTACAGTCATATTTCATCTACAAGTATAATTTAAGCAATGTAAATGGTATGAGTAATATTCTTGCCTGGTACGCTCTTCGTTTTCTCTTTGCTTGGCGGGAAGAGGCAAGCCATCAAATACAAAATATGGCTTCACGTCGTTTGCTATCAAGACTCTCAGGAAAGACTCACATATGTCAATAACCCTTAAAAATTTGCATACAGTAATTACAATAACAATACAGTTGTAAGCAGATTGCGCATATACGGTAAATATACAAATTTGGCGACTGAATAATGCAGAAATTAAACTGTATTTATTACGGTAAATAATAAAATACAAACCTGCGATCATCGCCAAACTCCTTGTAGCTTACAGCCAACGCTTTGTGAAGCCAACACGACACATCGACTGCACAAACCTGGCCAGCAAAGTCTTTTATATTTACCCTGGTGGTAGCTTCTTTTACAAACGGCAAAAGAGTTTTTATTCCCATTGTTTCGACTACAGTATGTTTCGACTGACAGACAACCTTTCACCTCCGCGCCTGCAGCACGACTGAGCGAATTTTTTATTTGCGCATGATGCATTGCGGTCGTAGTGCGACCACCGCCTGGTGTTTGAACAAATGGTTCAACAACAAAAGAAGGATCCTAGACATGAATAATATTTCCGAGCAACTTGGCGAAGCGTGGTGCGATGCTATTTTGGGATTTCATTGGTTCACGGGTTTGTGACCAGATTTCGTTTAAATGAGAGTCGACGTTCAAACGCGCGCAGAGGTTGCAACTTTCATCACCTTTCATACTCTGGTCAAATTGTGAGCTTTTTTACATCCAACCATTCAGATATAACATTAATATTTTATCAATTCCCCTTTCAGGATCTAATTCAACGTGTTCTTTTACTGGAAAAGGAAAGGCGACATGACTCAAAGTTGCACGCAGTAAAGTCGAGTATGTTCGTGCCTTTCAAGATCTGGGCAAACAAATGACAGTTGATCAGGGCACAATGTCATATCTACAAAAGTTTGTTTGTCACTTATACGGACAAGAAAATGAGATCGATGTGGATAATGCTCGACATAACCTTTTTAGAATGGGAAATTGCACTGAAGAAACACTGCCACCCACGTCAGGCAGCTTAGTGCATGCAGCATATACATTGTGCGAATTACGAAAGCTATGTCAGACGTCGATGTATGGTGCAAATGATAACTGCAGGAAGTCCAGATGAACATGGCTGGTACATCAAGAATGGGCAGTTATGCATCAAGTGGATGACTCTTCCAGTGGCACCGAATAGCGTGTAAGAGATCCTGCAAAACAGGCTGCATGTCTAATCGGTGCTCATGTAAGAAAGCAAACCTGAATTGCACTGATTTGTGTAAATGATCGGGTAGTTGCAAAAACAAAGATAGGTCTGAGAGGGATGATTTTTTCATTGACTTTGATGACAAAGATGCATATGAAAATGATGAAGGACTTGATATTGACAATGTTAATTAGAACCTTAATTACTTATATATTCATATTAGATTTAAAAAACACAAATAATTAAAATCACCTGATAGTTTTATCTTCGACACCGCTGTTTTTCAGTGCTAAACAGTGGTACAACTCCTGCATCTGAACCACAATTCAAAAAATTTCAAAAAATGGTTATTCAGCATATTTTTAAAAAGTTCTATTAGCTATAACTTTTCAATGAAAACATTGCAGCTTTTTGTGTAATATAATTTTTTTCTGTACTAATGAGTGTTTAACTAATTACACTGCCAAATTTCAAAATTTCTCGAATTTGTGTTTTCTTTCTTGTATATGACGTCATCATTTTGAAAATGACCGTTTTTATCCAAACTGGTTAGCGAAATGGGGGCCAATTTGTTTACTTATCTTTTATATTATATTTTTAGTCATTTCAAGCAAACAAATTGTATTCTTTAAATGTGTCCAACAAAAATGTAATTTTGAGCTACTTTTCAAGTCATAGCCGGCGGCCTATTTCTAAAAATGTTCTCTGTTTCATGTATTTTTATTTGATATCTTAGGTATAAGGGTAAAAACAGGGGCTCATACAGTTTACGAGGTTGTAAAATGCATGATTTGCCTCCAATTTCATGTAAACATTCGACATTTTTCGACAGCAAAGTAGCAACTGTTTCAGATCGAATGCACATGCACGGACAGGCCACCAGAGACAATGGCAGGGTACTGAAATAGAACGTCACTAAAAAATTCTGTATGATTAATTTAGATCATGTCCATTTTCAACATAAAACAGTTATGTATTTTGTACAAACATTTGGCAATATTTACACGATTGTGCCTTTTTGTAAACACGCGTTGCGTGTATTCCACTCAAGTGCGTGACTTATTTTGCTGGCGCATGCTCAGACAAATTTCCCACCTGTTGTACAGACCTTCATTACGGGCTTAATACTGTAGGGAGCCTCTTTAAGAATGCGTTTTTGACTCGTGTTCACAGATTTTTGACTCGTGTTCACTCGTGTTCGTCATTTTTGACTCGTGTTCAGATTTTTGACTCGTGTTCACTCGTGTTCGTCATTTTTGACTCGTGTTCACTCGTGTTCGTCATTTGACTCGTGTTCACTCGTGTTCGTCAGTTTTTGACTCGTGTTCACTCGTGTTCACAATTTTTTGACTCGTGTTCACTCGTGTTGTCTCGTGTTCACTCGTGTTCTGACTCGTGTTCACTCGTGTTGTCTCGTGTTCACTCGTGTTCTGACTCGTGTGGTCTTTTAGAATAGATCCAAAAACAGTGCTTTCTTTGCAAGCATGTACGTTGTTGGGTGAATTATATACTTTAGTAAAGTAAGCCTGTTAAATGCTGTCTGTTGTTTGGTCTGCTTGAGCTCTCCATGTCATATTAGGGAGCTTAAGGTGCACCAAATTTGAGACGCGGACGCGACTAAAAAACAGTCGGTAGTAATTGGAGACTAGTTTTACTTTGTTTTTCTCGTGTACCTGGCTTTGTTTACCAACAATAATCCATAGTTTTTACCCGTGAAGTGAAAATGTGATAATAGCGGCAGTCAGTCTTGTACATGTCACGTCCGTGTCGTAGATTTGGTGTATTTTAAGCTCCCTATATTATTAAATGCGACGCCCATGCAGATGAAAACAACATACATTCTAAGAAATTTGTCCCCCATGGGGCCTTGGGCATATTTCATATCACACCGGTGAAAATTGTATTATGATCAATCATGAGTTATGGTGGTCAGGACACTGCATTGGTTAAAATCTAGCCTGTGAACAGGCTTTATTCAGGTGGGCCTCGTAATAACAAACCCCTGCCCGCATGCCTTATAATTTTGGAAAATGCCCTATTGAGTCACGCCCACCTATCAGAAACTCAAAATCACAATAGTGCTCAAAATATCAAAGAGCTTCCGTATCGTTGCGCGGAATACTGGATTTCTTTTCATTCTTGAGAATTGAGATGTTCAAATACATTCACGAGCCATTCCGTTTATCAGAATAAACCGCAATGAATGAGAAAGATTTCTGTATCGAAATTAGAACATTAACATTTTAATTAGAACATTAATTAAAATGCATCCAGTCGCTGTCAAAAATATTGCCGTCTACAGACTAATCAATTTGGCTTCACATATATTTCATGCAAACACTGTCATATTATTAAAAGCAAAACGTTTATCGTTGCCATAAACAGAAACGAATTCATTATACGTTTCATCGAGGGGTAAATTACTCTGAAAATCTTCGTACACTTAATTTCATCAAAAATCAAAAAAATCTTTGGAAAAATCCCAAAATCTTACTAAATCCCAGAATCAAAAAAAAACTCTAAAAATTGCATAAAACACTAATGCAAAAAGCCCAATAAAATCCTCAAAATTATTGCAATATTGGGAAATCGGCCATCAAATTTAAACATTTAAATCGTGAATTGGCGTGAAAATGCCATTCGTTGTTTTATTTCGTTTTAAAAAAATATTCGACGGATTATATGTCGCAAAACATTTCTGAAAAAGTTCGGTGAAAAAAAATACGGGAAAATATTTCGAAATAATCAGCTGAAAAAAATCCCAAAATACCTTAATTAAAGTTGGAGAAAAAATCCCAGAATCCCGAGAAAAATTGCCGGGATTTTCTAATCCCAAAAATCTTCGTACGCGTTTCATAATATTAACGACAACATAGTCTTGAATGTTCATGCTTTCACAACGTTAACTCAACTGTCTGGACCAGTCTGGACTGTCTGTATCAGCTCACTTCAACTGATGGACAGTGTCGGAATATAAAACAACATATTTGCATTCTATTTAATACCTAATGGTATATAAATTGCATACAGTACAACAAGAATAGTAAATATATTCATGTATAAAAGTCATTATTGGAAATCCACGACGACCTTCATCGAGGTTCAAATGTCAATAAATTTTTATAAACACTTTGATAGGACACTTCAGGCGAACTAGCAGCTAAACTGAACCTGACAATCTCACATGTAGTACATCCAAAATATTTCTCCCATTAAATTGGCCCAAAACATTAATGTTTTTCTTGTTCGCATTTACTCGACTATATTCATATATAAATCAGCATCAAACCATCAACAAAGTTTTGCAAATTTGCTGACCTCAGTTATAAACGCAGACCTCCTACTTATGCCCCGTTTACACTACGCTCAATTTTTGGTACGGCACGGATAAAACTGGTACCCGTACCACTTTTTTGGTTCTTGGACTACCTATGTTTAGGTAGTCCAAGAACCAAAAAGTGGTTTGGTACCAAAAATTGAGCGTATAGTGTAAACCACAAAATCCGCTGAAAATGCGAGCCTGTGGCACTACACAGCTAAAAACGATCAGGTTGTTGCAATATTGATGAAAACAGGATTGAACAATGTTGTGTGGCCCACATTGTTCACAGTTGTCAACAATATTGAACAATATTGTTACACCCGATTCAGGCTCAACAATATTGTTCAAAATTGAACAATGAGGGCCGCAATGAACAATGAGAGCCGCACAACATTGTTCAATCCTGTTAAACAGCGGACTCATAATTTTTGGGAGAGAATTTTGTAGGAGAAAATTTACTGAATATGACCAACGTGTTCCGTTATCCATATATTTAGTCATTTGTGTTGTGTTCCTTTGTAACCTTTCCCGAGCAAACTGTCATTATATTGTCTGCAGTGATATCGTCATGTCCTCTACATTATGGGTGAAGGGCATCGTGGGTAATCGTTTCTGTCACACTAGAACGAAAGAATTTTTTAATAAGTATTTTTAATACAATAGTTTGTCGTCTCACGAAACAACTCTGGGTGTCAGGTGCAGAGGCGTAGCCAAGGCTGGGGAGTGGGGCCGGGGGCCCGCCCCCCTCCCACCTGGCAAAATTTTGGGCGCCCCCTGATAAAATGTCTTGTATAAAAAGGGGAATCCTTGATTATATAGCTTCATGCTGTCAATAATGCAAACTGAATCTATAAATTATAACCTATAAATTGAATTATCTTGAAGGTGTTGGTCACCACAGCATTATTAGTCGAGGTGGTAAGAGTGGTGACATGTATAATGAATTATAGTGAAATAATTTATGCCTGCATGAAATTTAAATTGTATGCACGGATAGCGCTAGATTTTGGAATAATATCTAGAATACTTTTAGTGAAAACTCTTGTGTCAGAAAGATGCCCCATCTTTTGCTGTCAGGTTATGAAGATGTCCCATCTTTTCTTAACCAGTGGAAGCTTAAAAGGAGTCTTATATTATTCTTTACGCCACAACACAGGCGCGGGCGTAAATTTCGTAAAATAGCTAAGACAATGGTGTCAATGCAGCTATTGTTTTTGAAATAATATGTAGATATACAGCTATTTCAACTATTAAGGTTGTCCACGAGCAAAGCGGAAAAGTCGAATACGAGCGCGAAAGGCTGCTGACAAATTAATGAATTTTCATAGCGATTCCCAGCAGCCTTTCGCGCTCGTATTTGACTTTTCCGCTTTGCTCGGGGACAACCTTAATTGAAATAGCTGTATATCTTGGTGAAAACGGTGAAAACGTTTGTGCCAGATTAATGTGCGCACTAGGGCCTAGAGAAAGGAGGTATAAGTGTATAAGCCATTGAAACCGCCGCACTTTTTATACTGCCAAGATCTATAAAGACGGCAAATAGGCTTCGACGTTTCGATATGGAATTATCATGCCATACTTTGAACATAAACAAAATCTAGGTTCAATATTATTCACGCTATTCGATCTCTAAGATATCAAGAACGTTTTGTTTTACAACACACGAGTATTATTATACGCAGCCTTATTTCACATTATACGCTATAGTATACCTGACCATAAGTGACTTGTCAACAGTCAGCATCGTAAATATCATCCTGACATATTTGTACACTTTTATTTTGGCATGTTGTAAAATATGGACTGGACCTTGGACTGGACTGGATTGGATTTGTAAACTATGGACTGGACTTGTAAAACATGGACTTGTAAAACATGAACTTGTAAAACATGAACTTGTAAAACATGGACTTGTAAAACATGGACTTGTAAAACATGGACTTGTAAAACATGGACTTGTAAAACATGGACTTGTAAAACATGGACTTGTAAAACATGGATTTGTAAAACATGGATTTGTAAAATATGGACTTGTAAAACATGGACTTGTAAAACATGGACTTGTAAAACATGGACTTGTAAAACATGGACTTGTAAAATATGGATTTGTAAAATATGGACTTGTAAAACATGGACTTGTAAAACATGGACTTGTAAAACATGGACTTGTAAAACATGGACTTGTAAAACATGGATTTGTAAAACATGGACTTGTAAAACATGGACTTGTAAAACATGGACTTGTAAAACATGGACTTGTAAAACATGGACTTGTAAAACATGGACTTGTAAAACATGGACTTGTAAAACATGGACTTGTAAAACATGGACTTGTAAAACATGGACTTGTAAAACATGGACTTGTAAAACATGGACTTGTAAAACATGGATTTGTAAAACATGGACTTGTAAAACATGGACTTGTAAAACATGGACTTGTAAAACATGGACTTGTAAAACATGGACTTGTAAAATATGGATTTGTAAAATATGGACTTGTAAAACATGGACTTGTAAAACATGGACTTGTAAAACATGGACTTGTAAAACATGGACTTGATCTTCGAGCGAGTTTATTATCGATGATATGTTTCTCTATATGTACATCTATATTGAGAAACAGGTAAAAATACACGAATTATTCTGCTGTGCTCGCTTGCCCCTGCCCCCGCCTTATCAGTTTGCCCCCGGAATTGAACAGACAATAACGAAATAGATTGGACCGAGTCAACATAATTTAACTTCGAAAATATTTAATCCTTTTTTGCATATCTGTGTTAAATAGGTTTTTTTTTGTCAAAATGTTAGTTAATTTAAAAAACTATTTGTTTATTATTTGCATGGCATGCATTTTCTATCATAGCTAGAATGTTCTAATTAAGCTAAATTCAGTTGCAAAACATGAATTTCGAGGTGTGGATTGAAAAATTAACAGCAATGAAACAGATGTGAGTTGCAGGTAAAGTTAGATGTTAGGACAATTTGTTTAATCTAGCTCATGACGTTTTTTTACCTTGGTGGATATGATTCAACCATATGTAATTAAAAATATATATTATGTGTTACTACTTTGTAATGCAACATTTGTCCTACCATAACCCTAACCCATGGCCCGTCTTCATACAACGAAATGATTTGAACACATCCAGGACATTTTTTACGAACTTGTCTGGGGGGGCATCTACAAAAGGGACCATACTATACTGAGTGTGGAGAGATGACAGATGGTTGTTGGTGACAAAAAGTCTGGTGTGGTATCGTATGTACTAGTAGGGGGTCTGGGGGTATTCTCCCCTAGAAAATTTTTTTGTATTTTTCCACCTCTAGGACTGAAATGTGAGCATTTTCTGAAACAGATTTTTGGATATATATACAGCGTTACATAATGTGCTTTGATAGACCGAATCTGATCAGTTAAGAACTTCTTGCATGGTATGTTCATGTAAATACCACACTGGGTCACTCAGGAGGTAGGAAGCTTGTTAAACTTAGTGGGCCTGACTCCCACGAGGCGCTACCATGCCGGTTGGCGCCGAGCAGGGAAATTTTGAAAATTTTGAGTCTAGATCGTTGGAAATAGCCAGAGTCTTCTTTACCTCTTCGGCATTGTGATTTGTGATCAGTCTATGCTGTTTGTGATTATAGAAATCAGAACTAGCTCTAGACATGGTATTTAAGTTCAAAAACGTTTTTGACTCCACCCTTTCTCTAGTTTAAAACTTATTTGACCCCCCTGTTTATAAGGGTAAAACTTCGTTTGCCCTCTCCTCACCCATTTACCCTCCCCCCCCTGATAATGATCACTCCCTAACTAAACAAAACAAAACGAAACTCATAACAAAACATTTCATTGTCCTTAGTGCCTAACAAATATTACTGGTATCCATTATTAAATATCGTATAAGTCAATCAAGATACATGTTATGATCTGGGAACTCGATGATGAATTTCAGTCAATGATTCTCAAGGCCAAGAGATCGAATTTTTGCGATTGAACTATTATTGTAACTATTCAGAATTTGATCATACGTTATTTTTTCAAATTTTGTTGTTGGTAGAAAAACGGCTTACTGTAAATATCCCTCCGTGCATGTACACTATATGGTATGGAAGAGTTAATAATGCCTATCACTAAGACAATATCACATAATATCACACGTGGTCAACTAAGATGGCGGAGCTTTGTAAGCTCTGTATTTTTTATGTTATATTTCGTTAATATTTCGTTGTATTTATGTTATTTGAAGTTTATTTTGTCTCAATTATGTCAGTTATCACAGCAGAAGTTTTAAATACTATTTTTGACCAAAAATTAGAGCCATTAAATAAGAAAATTGATGAGGCAATCAGTTCAATGTCGTTCATAAATGAAAAATATGAACAAATATTAGTCAAGTTGTCGAAGTTTGAAGAAGAAAAGAAGTCTCTTGTTAATGAAAATAAAGCTCTGAATAATGAACTTCAAAGAGCTACAAACAAATTGCAAGAAATAATGAAATCGCAAGACGATATGGAGCAATATATCAGACGTGAATGTCTCGAAATCCGTGGGATACCATGCTTGAATGATCAGGAAAATACTAATAGTATTATAAAGGACATTGCAAAGGCGATCGATGTTGATATTACGGATATAGATATATCCACAAGTCATCGGCTGAAATCCAACGTTTCTTATAAAGGGAAAAGCAAGAATTCACCACCAATTATTGTGAAATTTACACGGCGTGAGACGAAAGAGAAATTATATAAAGCTCGTAAGAAGCTTAATAGATTAACCACAAAAGATCTTGGATATGTAATCGAGCAGAAAATTTTTATTATGGAAAGTCTGACCAAAAGAAATAAAGTTTTGTTCAATATGGCTTACAATTTGAAGAAGGAATACCAATATAAATTCATTTGGACGTACAATGGGAATATATATTTACGAAGAAATGAACTTAGTCCTGTCATCAACATTAAAAATCAGCGTGACATTCAGCATTTGAGGGAGTGATATTTACCAGTGAATTGTTGTGCTATTATCTATTATCTATTAGATAAGTGTTTATTTAATTGAATATTGAGGTAATGTCTACTAGCATGGAAAGTAGAATCGAGCAATATAGCTTGTTGCCTGGTTTTGTATCTAGCTCTGTAGCTACAAATGCTTCTCATTTGACAAACTCAGATATTGATTGCCACATGTTGCATGATGTCAATTTTAATCATTATGGCGTTGATGAGTTCCGAAATAATAGTGATATAGCCGAATGTTTTTCGAATAAAAATTCTTTTTCTGCTTTAAATTGCAATATAAGGAGTTTGTCTGCAAATCATGATAAATTATCACATATGTTATCTCTATTGAATTTCCCATTTTCCATAATTGGCCTGTCTGAAACAAAATTGAGATTTAATGAGTGTTCTTTGCTAAATCTGGATTTAAATGGCTATCGTTTTGTGTCTCAGCCTAGTCATTCAAACGCTGGTGGTGTGGGATTTTATATTAAGCAGACTATCAATAGTATTGTTCATGAGGAATTAACTGTTTCAGTCTCGGAATTTGAAGCTTTGTGGGTTGAGATACCAATTGATGGCCAGCATAATATTTTATGTGGAATTATTTACCGACATCCTACTGCCAATGTTAATATATTTTTGGATTATTTGAATTCAACTCTTGATCGGATCCACAGGGAGAATAAGTACTGTATGATTATGGGTGATTTTAATTTAAATATTTTAAATTTTGATTCTCACTCTGGAACTGATGAATTTATTAATATGTTAACCACCTTATTTTTTCAACCGTACATTTTGCAACCAACACGAATAACTGATCATACTGCAACTTTAATTGACAATATATTTTTTAACTCACTTGATCATTTTACCATTAGTGGTAATTTAATTTACGATCTTTCTGACCATCTGCCTAATTTTTTAATTATTCATAAATTTTCAAATTTGCCAACAAATGTTAAGATGTATAAGAGAGACTATTCTCGACTTGATGACACAGCTTTGATTGCTGAAGTTCAGTCAGTTAATTGGACTGCTTTACTATCATATAATAACCAAAATCCTTCAGATTTATTTGATTTATTTTATGAGCAAATCACTCAAATTGTAGATTCACATATACCAATTAAACAATTGTCTAAAAGACAGATAAATGTTCAGTCTAAGCCTTGGATAACAAGGGGAATTAAGAATTCCATCAAGGTAAAAAATAAACTCCATAAAAAATATCTAAAAACCAAATCAATGTATCATTATAATAGGTTTAAATTTTATCGAAATAAAATAAATCATCTTTTGCGTATTGCAAAACGTCAATATTATAATAGCTATTTTGATACAAATTTGCATAATAGTAAATTAATATGGAAAGGAATCAAAGAAATTATTCAACTGAAGCCAAAAGCCCATTTAGTTCCAACTAAAATTAAAGATGATAATTGTGAAATAGTTGATTCAAAAGAAATAGCTAATTCATTTTCAAAGTATTTTGCAAATATCGGTAGTAACCTCTCAAGTTCCATACCAAATGTAAATAAATCACCAATAGATTATTTAGATGAAACAGATCATGATAGTTTTTATATTTTTCCGGTAACAACTATAGAGATTGAAAATGAAATAACAAGTTTAAAAAATGGAAAGGCTTCCGGACCATTTAGCATACCAATTAAGGCAATGAAAATTTTAAAATATGTTATATGCAAACCATTAGAAATAATATTTAATGCCTCTATATCTGAAGGAATAGTTCCTGATAAATTTAAAATAGCTCGTGTTATCCCAGTTTTTAAAAAAGGGTCGCATAGTTTCCTGAATAATTATCGA